GTGCCAACTTTGGCTGTGTTTCTCCAAGGTTTATAAGTCTGTCCACAGCAGCTGTGACAGCATAAACACAACAAAAAGCTGTTTTATAAAGCAGCGCGGTGGTGAGGTAAGTGGAAAAACTTTAAGGTCAAACTGTTTTTATTCGTAGTACCACTCGTACTATTACTGAACCTATTCAAATTCGACACAGTCACGTGTTCTTGATTATTTGCTCAAAATAAATTTGCAGCATGTATAAAAGATCCTGCCACTTTGTATCAGCTCAATTTTTCCGTAACTGATCATATAGCTAAAATGGTTCCACTTAATGTTTGAGGAAACCACTTTGGACCATGCACAGAAGCCTTACTGGTCTTTGTTTGAGTAATTTTCTTGAAAAGTGTTACGCACAGTTTTACAGTAGTTTGTCTGGTAGTCCTCAAGCAGCTTGCTGAAAACTTCAAGTGTGCCTCCTTTTTCTTCCTCTGTCTTTTCCAACTTAAAGGCTTCATTTATATTTGTCCAAAGTTTCCCTGAGCTAAGCCTCTCTGACCTATTACCCAAAGTCCCACAAAACCGGGTTTGTTCAAGCGCCTTTAAAAAACACATTTTTGCCAGATGTGGCTCCTTGTTTCTTTCCACATACTCATAAAAGATGTGCTTAGAATGAAAGAAGAGGAAAAAAAATGTTGTAACGACACCAGGATGTGGTGGTTGTTGTCCAGAGCTGCAGCAGAGTGAGGTGCTAATGGCTAAATGAAAATGAAACCATTTTTGTTAAGTAACTACACCGACAGACACCCTGCCATCACATTCCACTGTGTTTAAAGCTTCACTCCTGAGCTGCTTCTTGGTCTCTTTATGACTGAACTCTCTGGGTCTCTCCTGCCTGCTTCTAAATGCCTCCATTAGTGGCATGTTTACATCAGGAAGAACTCCTCTGCCTCTTTAAGCCATTATGTTTAACTGGCAATCACAAGATGCCCAACACCAACTGTTCTTCTGTGCAATTGCAATCATCTGTTCAGTCACTTTGCTAGTGCCTACATAAAGGCATACTGAAACAATAATTAACCTGAATGAGAACTCTATCTGTGCATTTATTCAATCATGTATTTTAGTTTATTAAGCATCTTAGTATCCACATTTTTTGGCAAAAATGTGAAATGTTTCATCAAATTTTGAGGGGCCAGAATCATGGCCCTGATGAATTTTAATTAATTAGTAGTTTTTAGCTAAAACCCTTGCATGGTAACATGCTAGACTAAGATGGTAAACATACCTGCCAAACATGAGCATGGTGACCTCACCACTTTGTGAGCATTTTATTTTGCTGAAGTTAGCATTTAGCTCAAAACACCACAGTGCTTAAATAAAGGATCACTGAGCTGCCATGGCCAGTGGGCTCCAGCCATATTTAAATTCATATTGTTTTTTAATATATAGAATTTAGTTCTTAAAATCAACTTGCATAATGTGATTAGGAGATTTTTTGCAAATGCTCAAAACAGTGGAGATGACAGTGGACTTCAGGAACAGCCCTCCCACCTTACCCCTCCTCACCATACTTGGCAGCACTGTATCAGCAGTAAAGTCCTACAAGTTCCTGGGCTCCACTATCTCCCAGGACCTGAAGTGGACGTCCAACATCAGGACCATCATCAAGAAGGCACAGCAGAGGATGTCTTTCCTGTGCCAACTCAGGAAGTTCGACCTGCCCCAGGAGCTACTGATACAGTACTACAGAGGAATCATCAAGTCTGTTCTCTGCACCTCCATCACTGTCTGGTTTGGCTCAGCAACCAAACAGGACAAGTACAGACTTCAGCGGACAGTGAGGACTGCAGAAAAGGTCACTGGTGTGAGCCTGCCCTCCATGGAGGACCTGTACACCTCACGGGTCAAAAGGAGGGCGGAAAGGCCATCCTCCCCTCTGGACAGTGTTACAGGTCACTGTGCACTAAGACAACCAGGCACAGGGACAGTTTCTTCCCCTAGGCTGTCGCTCTGATGAACATTTAACCAACGACAGTATGACTGGACAATAACCCTCAGTGCAATATTTTTATTCTTATGTTTTTCCCTAATGCACATTCCTTTTGCTTGTTTACACATTACCTCTTTCCTTTCTGTTTTCCCATCCTTACACATTGTTTACTTGCCCACTGCTGCCTTACAGAAGGACATGTATAAACACACTGAGAGCCACCAGAGTCAAATCCCTCATGTGTCCAACACACCTGGCCAATAAAGCTGATTCTGATTCTGATTACCATTATCTATAGCAATGTGTGAATTAATCACTTAAAGTCATTCTGATGGGAGGAGGCCCAGCACTGTGTCGTACTGTAGAACAATTAATCTCCAGGATTTCTGTTAGAGCACCAACCTGCCACCGTTTTTCTGCGAACAAACAACAACATACAATGTTCAGATTGTGTCACTTTATGTTTGGAATGTGGTAATGCAGTTCATCAACTACAGGACATACAGTATGAGTAACACAAAGGCAGACAAACCTCATATTAAATGACAAGAGATTTGTCAAAACACTGAACAGTGTATAATTCAAACATTGTACATTCTTATTATAAACGTATTGAGACAATATTTTAAAAGACACCAATGTAAAAGGCCTTTTTAGTTCTACTGCAAGCAAATGAATGGGAAACATTGTGTAACTGTTCTGTACTATAATAATCAATGAAACATTAGCCATCTGAATTTTCACACGCTGTGATCAGTGAGTTGGATATGCACGTTTATCCAACCATAAGACAAAGAAAAGACAGACAAAAATGCACTTGTTGTACAAGAATTACACCACAGGTTTGGGGTGCCCTCAGAATACTTGATACCACTGGTGTACACTTACCGGCCACTTTATCAGGTACACCTGTACAATTGCATGCACCTCAGTGCAACACTTCTGCCTGCATTTATAAAGCTCAAATTATTTAAATTCAATTATATGTTTGTTACTGAGGCCATAGTGGTGCTGTACTGGACTACATTATATTCAGAGGTGTTCCTAAATTCTGACCCTCTCACGTATGTAGCTGGGGAGGAAAAAATACAGAGACAGCTCTGAATATAATGTAGTCCAGTATAACACCACCTTTAACTGTGACCTTCATAAACCCAGACGTTAAGTCAGAAGTGTTGTACTAAATTGCATACAATCACACAGTTCTACCTAATAAAGTGGCCGGCGAGTGTATGTAAGACCTTACATACCCATTTATTATGATCTTGGGAACAGGCCACATCATCGCAAAATATCAAAAATACATGTCTCCCAGTGGGGTAATTCACAAGCTTTAATGAGTGAATATACAAGGTTTTCTAAAGGACATTGTACACACAAGTTAGGTCCGAAATCTACAAATGAAAATATATAGTGACACAAAAAATGCATATCACTTTGAGATATATTTCTCTTTTTTCTGCTGCAGTGACAACATAAATGTTTTAATGCACCTACTCCCTGACATGCAAACTAACTGTTGTAGAAGCTTATAAAAGCCAAATATACTTACACAACACAGAAAACAGCATAAACACCCCTCTAAGTTGTTACATTTCACATAGGAATATAGATGTTTGTAGCTGAAATCAACACGGTTCTCTGAACTATTCGGATGTGTGAATTTGTATTGGCCTGTCTTGTAATTATGATGTTGATGTCACTTGCATCAGGTCATGCTTCTGTGCGAGTTACATAGTATAGAAATGTAGTCATGCATAATAAAGATACCCTGCTATACAAATGATGAACACTAGGTAGCAGACTTTGCCCACTTTGTACACAGCTACAGTCTGCCTGGGAATAAAATGTCAAGTCATGGCGGGGGAGAGGGTGGGACATGCACAGGGCAAACATTACACTAGGAGTCAAGTTTATTGCTTTTTAAAGAACATGCATCTATCTTTGACTGAGATTTCTTTCCCAATTAATATGCATGCAAAGATATCTCAGACTAAACAGGTGTTTAGTTTCCTCTGTCTCAGCTCAGCCTCTCATCTGCCACCATCTGTTTCTCCCATTTTCTTTTCCCTGGCTTCAAACAAAACTCTTGATGCTTTCCCCTTCCCTGCGACCTTGTCCATCTCTGTCTCTTTCCTCCACACGCTTGTAGCCTTGTCTTTGATTTTTTTTCTTTCCATTTCTCCATCGCTCTCTTACAACTGAATCTCTTTGTTTCCTTCTTTCCTTCCTCCCTTCCTTCCTCCTCCTCCACTGCTCTGCAGGGAAGCTAGAGAGGCTGGCATTTCTCTAACAGCAGGGGAGGAATCTGCCCCCAGCCTCAGCCCAGCTGGGCAAAGCGAGGATGGGTGTGTCATGGCTAACAGGTATGTGTGTGTGTGTGTGTGAGTGTGACTGGTAAGCGTGAATACATGGCCGGATCCCCAACACTAGACCTGCCCACAGTTGTCTGCTAACCCCTGTATGATATCCACAAAGGGGGATATCCCCTAAGGTTTTGCAACTCATTTTCTGGCACTAAACAGTGACATTGGTTGTGTTCATATTTACTAAAGTTGGTGGGGTTTTGCGAGAAGGAAAAAATGCGGCACAGCAGTTTTTTTTTGAATTTGCATGTTGGTTCTCATGTAATATATATTTTAAGGTGTTCCCATTCAGGGATGCAAAAATCAGGGAGGAAAGAATGAAAATTTATATAAATACCATCAGTCCCTGATTTACCACGGCTGGGACAGAGGGAACTGCGGCTGAAATTTACTGTCAGGAGAAAGCAGGTGTAAAATTTGTGGCCCTGCTTTCAGCGTGGCAGCTGTTAGTCATCTGAGATCTCCCTGGACTTAAGAATATGATTGAGGAGGGAGAGAGCCTTTGTAAATTGCTCGCCAGAGGACAATGCAAGAGTGCGACAAAAATGAGGCAAAACCAGTGTTAACATCGGTTTGGCATGTTGAGAGCACAAAGCATCCAAAGGAATAAAGTTTGACACAGATATAGCTTTCATCCTGATAGACATTAAAGTAGCTAGTTTATGAAAGATGATTTCACTGGCAGGAGACTACATGATTGAAGTTCGGAAATGCATTTGTTGATTTCTTCAATCATATTAAAGTTCAGTTGGTGTAATCTTAGACTTTCTTCTCTGCTTCAGGAAGCAGCCTTCAGGAAGCAGATCCGAAGTGGAGGCATAGTCAAATTTTGAGCAGTTTATAAACAAAAACACCTGTTTCTTGCACAGCAGTATCTTGCACTTCCTGTGAGAATTGTCAATATTGCTGAGGACAAGGACCAATAAAACCTTTAATGCAAAAAATGGGAATTAGCAGACAAAAAGTAAAACTCAGTGTAGAGGGGAGGGACACCCAGGGTTCGGTTTCACTGTTCTCTCATACAGTAAAAGAAAATTTTGGGGGTAAGTCAGGGAGGAAAAGAAGAGGAAGAGCAGCAGGTGAGTGAGGGATGAGCCACAGCTGTCTTGATTTGATCTGTGGTAAGAGGAAGAGGGCAAGTCTTGGATAAACCCTTTTGTTCTTATAACATGACAAATAATTACACAAGAGGCGCGTGTGGATAAGTAGGAAGGAAAAGAGATAGAGTGAATCAGAGTGTAGAGGCTGAGGTGAGTGGCTGTGTCAGGGTCACATATGTCGATGTAGCTCCGGCAACGGTGAGGACGAGAGGGACGGTCGCGGTTCAATTCCTCGACCCTTCATAAAGGACAGCAGTTGGTCAGGGATCTCGGCCAGGACGTCTTTAGCCAGCCGGGCCATGCTGAGGACTTGGTTGCCAGATCTGTCAATGTAGTCTCTGAATGGAACAAACTGGAAGCAGAGGAAAATTCTAGTTTAGAGTATTGATTATGAATTATTGACCTAGTGTCAGCAAGGGCTGAGGATTTTGTAGGAGGCATTACAAGCAAATGTTCTCAGTTCTCTCACAGACTGCATCACTGAATTTGTTTTGCTGTTAGAGCTTGAGCTAATGACCAGCCTAACATCTTACAGCAAATGTTATCATAAGTTTTTTCATCAGTTTCATCCTTTATTACACAATGATTTCTGCTGTCCACTTTACAAGTTGCCACAGTGCACAAAAGGTTAAGCCTAGACTTTTCTTTAATTCCCATTTTATGTAAATAGTTAGGTTGTAAGATGCATTTTTCAAACCAGTATGTCTCATTTCAAAGACAGACCATGGAGGCTCCCTATGTAGGCACAACCCAGGATGGGAGCAGATCTGTCTGTTATACCCAAGACACCATGTTCTTTAGCATAGAAAGAGTGCGACAAAAATGAGGCAAAACCAGTGTTAACATCGGTTTGGCATGTTGAGAGCACAAAGCATCCAAAGGAATAAAGTTTGACACAGATATAGCTTTCATCCTGATAGACATTAAAGTAGCTAGTTTATGTTTATATATATACAGTGGTGTGAAAAAGTGTTTGCCCCCTTACTGATTTCTTATCTTTTTGCATGTTTGTCACACTGTAATGTTTCAGATCGTCAAACAAATTTATATATTAGTCAAAGATAACACAAGTAAACACATCATGCAGTTTTTAAATGAAGGTTTTTATTATTAAGGGAAAACAAAATCCAAAACTACAAAGCCCTGTGTGAATAAGTGTTTCCCCCCCTCCACTTCTGAATGGCTGAAGAAAAACAAAATGAAGACTGGAGTGGCCTAGTCAACGTCATGACCTGAATCCAATTGAGATGCTGTGGCATGACCTTAAAAAGGCAGTTCATGCCCGAAATCCCTCCAATGTGGCTGACTTACAACCATTCTGCCAAGATGAGTGGGCCAAAATTCCTCCACAGCGCTGTAAAAGACTCATGGCAAGTTATCGAAAACGCTTGATTGCAGTTGTTGCTGCTAAGGGTGGCCCAACCAGTTATTAGGTTTAGGGGGCAAACACTTATTCACACAGGGCTATATAGTTTTGGATTTTGTTTTCCCTTAATAATAAAAACCTTCATTTAAAAACTGCATGATGTGTTTACTTGTGTTATCTTTGACTAATATATAAATTTGTTTGACGATCTGAAACATTACAGTGTGACAAACATGCAAAAAGATAAGAAATCAGTAAGGGGGCAAACACTTTTTCACACCACTGTATGTATATATATATCAGCATCATTAGCAAGCTAACATTAACATTTCAGTTTTGTACCGTTGTATCGAGTTATTCTGGTTGTAATTTGGAGTCATTCCAACTGGCTGCAGCATTAGCGCTTTGTAGTGCAATTAGTGGAAATCAGCAAATATTTCTGCTAACATCTTACAGCAAATGTTATCATAAGTTTTTTCATCAGTTTCATCCTTTATTACACAATGATTTCTGCTGTCCACTTTACAAGTTGCCACAGTGCACAAAAGGTTAAGCCTAGACTTTTCTTTAATTCCCATTTTATGTAAATAGTTAGGTTGTAAGATGCATTTTTCAAACCAGTATGTCTCATTTCAAAGACAGACCATGGAGGCTCCCTATGTAGGCACAACCCAGGATGGGAGCAGATCTGTCTGTTATACCCAAGACACCATGTTCTTTAGCATAGAAAGAGTGCGACAAAAATGAGGCAAAACCAGTGTTAACATCGGTTTGGCATGTTGAGAGCACAAAGCATCCAAAGGAATAAAGTTTGACACAGATATAGCTTTCATCCTGATAGACATTAAAGTAGCTAGTTTATGTTTATATATATACAGTGGTGTGAAAAAGTGTTTGCCCCCTTACTGATTTCTTATCTTTTTGCATGTTTGTCACACTGTAATGTTTCAGATCGTCAAACAAATTTATATATTAGTCAAAGATAACACAAGTAAACACATCATGCAGTTTTTAAATGAAGGTTTTTATTATTAAGGGAAAACAAAATCCAAAACTACAAAGCCCTGTGTGAATAAGTGTTTGCCCCCTAAACCTAATAACTGGTTGGGCCACCCTTAGCAGCAACAACTGCAATCAAGCGTTTTCGATAACTTGCCATGAGTCTGCCACAGCGCTGTGGAGGAATTTTGGCCCACTCATCTTGGCAGAATTGTTGTAAGTCAGCCACATTGGAAGGTTTTCGGGCATGAACTGCCTTTTTAAGGTCATGCCACAGCATCTCAATTGGATTCAGGTCAGGACTTTGACTAGGCCACTCCAAAGTCTTCATGTTGTTTTTCTTCAGCCATTCAGAAGTGGACTTGCTGGTGTGCTTTGGATCATTGTCCTGCTGCAGAACCCAAGTTCGCTTCAGCTTGAGGTCACAAACGGATGGCCGGACATTCTCCTTCAGGATATTTTGGTACACAGCAGAATTCATGGTTCCACTTATCACAGCATGTCTTCCAGGGCCTGAAGCAGCAAAACAGCCCCAGACCATCACACTACCACCACCATATTTTACTGTTGGTATGATGTTCTTTTTCTGAAATGCGGTGTTACTTTTACGCCACACATAATGGGACACACACCTTCCAAAAAGTTCAACTTTTGTCTCGTCTGTCCACAGAGTATTATCCCAAAAGTCTTGGGGATCATCAAGATGTTTTCTGGCAAAACTGAGACGAGCCTTTATGTTCTTTTTGCTCAGCAGTGGTTTTCGTCTTGGAACTCTGCCATGCAAACCATTTTTGCCCAGTCTCTTTCTTATGGTGGAGTCATGAACACTCACCTTAACTGAGGCAAGTGAGGCCTGCAGTTCTTTGGATGTTGTTGTGGGGTCTTTTGTGACCTCTTGGATGAGTTGTCGCTGCGCTCTTCTGCAGTCCCCAAGCTTTAGAAATGGCTTTATAACCTTTTCCGGACTGATAGAGCTCCATTATTCTCTTTCTCATTTGTTTTTGAATTTCTTTGGATCTCGGCATGATGTCTAGCTTTTGAGGATCTTTTGGTCTACTTCACTTTGTCAGGCAGGTCCTATTTAAGTGATTTCTTGATTGCGAACAGGTGTGGCAAGAGAAATTGAACTCAGGTGCGATAAACCAGTGTTTTGACAGGGGGGCAAACACTTGTTCACACAGGGCTCTATAGTTTTGGATTTTGTTTTCCCTTAATAATAAAAACCTTCATTTAAAAACTGCATGATGTGTTTACTTGTGTTATCTTTGACTAATATATAAATTTGTTTGACGATCTGAAACATTACAGTGTGACAAACATGCAAAAAGATAAGAAATCAGTAAGGGGGCAAACACTTTTTCACACCACTGTATGTATATATATATCAGCATCATTAGCAAGCTAACATTAACATTTCAGTTTTGTACCGTTGTATCGAGTTATTCTGGTTGTAATTTGGAGTCATTCCAACTGGCTGCAGCATTAGCGCTTTGTAGTGCAATTAGTGGAAATCAGCAAATATTTCTGCATTAGCAAATGAAGTAATTTTGCTCAGTTTGCTCATTTTTGCTCAGTTTTGGTCCAGGCCACACAGTTTGTTTATGTCAGACATAACACTGCAGTCCATGTAGCAACGTTCAGGTTTGTTCAACTATCAAGGGTAACGTAATTTCTCTTGTTTGAGATATATCTCATAGCTACCTTATAACATTATGTGTATCAAGTACATATATATGAACGTGATGTGATAGTGGCTGGAACATTAGTACTGTATCAATATTACTGGGAAAAACATTTCTTTGTACAATTTGCTTGTGTTACTGCTTTAGGTAGAAAAAGGTTTCACAGACAGGGAATGGAGGGAGAAGAAGATGGGTTACTGCCCAAGTTTGTTTTGATTGTTACTAACAATTAAAAGTTAGAGGGTGAAAGTTAAAGTTATCAATATAGATAACCATGGAAACCAGGAAATATTTGTAGTAAAGTCACTGGAACCAGTCAAACTTTGGCATTTTTTTCCTCAAACAATGACTCAAAGGAGCACTCCATCTCCACTTAACATCACATTGCTATTAATTACATTCACATGAACAATTTAAAAATGGTAAAAATGTGTGCAACAGAATATGATATTTTTTTATTCTACACATTACCTTTCTTTCTCAAAATCTGGCAGCTATGTTACCCACAATGCAATTCTATCACTGACAGTTCATTCAGTTATTTGGATATGTAGTAACATCGGACAGAGATGAGGAGCAAGCTATAGAAAAACTCCTTGTTGTTTTACCTTTCAGACTTCAGACGCAACCGATGCTGACCCAACTGAAATCATTGGCTCCCTCTGGAGAAGCAAAGGGCTGTATATCATTTTTCCACATATACACTACCATTCAAAACTTTGGGTACAGTTTTCCACTGAATTGAATGAGAAAGTGTGTCCAAACCTTTGACTGGTAATGTACAGTAATACCTGTACATAGACTGCGATGTGTGAAATCTGTGGAGTTCTCTTTTAATAATTCTAACTTTAAAACATACTCATTCACTTTGCTTACTATAGTTTTACTTTCTTTGTGCAACAGAGCTGATTTATTAGGTGATATATTTATTAAGACTCACTAAAGGAAGCAGAACCAGACTTACAGTAGCTGTATCTCTTTCTCCCTGTGTATTTAACTTTGCTTTAGCCTTTATGTTAACCAGATGACAGCATTCAATTTATATTCACTGTGTTGGGAGCGTCAAGTCAGACCTAGTAGGATTGTTGCGATGACTTTTATGCAGGTGCTTATTTAGACATGAACTGTCTGAAAGGGGCTGTTTGTCAAAATATTCAATTATCTTTTATGAAACCTGTCTGCTTGGCAGCGATTATTAAAACCTTCTCTGGTACATTTAAATGTGGGTACATCAACACTTCCATTCTAGCCAGGTGGCCATTGAGTATACATAAGTCAAGATAATATCTTAAGGCATCAGTTTTATGGCATGAGTGCAGGTGTAACGGAACATCATGGCTTTAATTTATCACAGGAGGACAATAAGTATTGTTGCGGGAAAGGAAGTCGTCATGTTCAGTCAGTAACAATGAGAAAGTCTGTCACTGGCTGAACTTGGTGTGTGTGTGTGTGTGTGTGTGTTTCTACATGTGCAAACATTCTGATTAAAGCATTGTCGTTATAAGGTTAAAGGTAATCAAGGGATTTCTGTGTGCATGTAAATGTGATTAGGGCTGTTATTTGAGACAGGACTGTGAAAACACGTCAGCATTATCAATACAGCTTTGGCACAAAAGTCTAAATTATCCACATATTAACTTGGTATAGGATATAGCTACACACATGATGTTTATGTTTTATTACAAAACAATTCATTTCTTTGTGTGCACTAATATTAAAAATACAAAACAATTAGAATAAACCCTTACTATAGGTATAGGTATATAGTATAGGTATAGTATAAGGTATATTTTCCAGAGCCCAAGGTGACATCTTCTAATTCCATATGTTGTCTGGCTAAGAGACAAACCTAAACAAAATTCTATTTACTGTCATAGAAAACAAAAAGAAGTCAGAAATATTCAAACTTGAGAGGCAGGATCCAGACAGATTGGACATTTTTTTTCTATCAAATGAATTATTGCTTATTTTAAAAAATGGCCACAAACCTTCTGAAAATAATTAAGGAGTTTTTGAGCCCAAAACGAACTAAACCTTAAACATACTGAATCTGTGTGTGGTTTGTGTTTTGCTTGGGCAACTTTATTTTCTTTTTCATCAAGCTTTTCATTGAATATAAAAGGGATACATACTCCTTCATGGGACTTCCTGCTTTATGTAGGTACATGTCTGAGAAAAATGTGAGATTAAATGGGTTAACACTAACTCTTTGCCCTTGCTTATATTAGACAGGTGGACGGTGTAGTCCTGACCCTGTACCCTGTGTGGACATGTTCTGGTTTTGTGCCATTGAGCCTGCCCAGTGGCCCACCGCACTGCAGACAGGAACTGTACAAGGAGTATTTTGTAAGAGCAACGCAGCATATTCCCAGTGTGTGTTATAAGTGTAATCTATCCTCCTGCGGGGTTAACTCCCCCATGCTGCTACTGTTGACAGAAACAAGCTGAAATCTAACCTGTGAAGTTAAATAGAATTATGATGAGTACCTGTACAATGTCTCTCTCAGCAAGACGTCCTCTGGAGGATACTCTCACCTCGTCGCCATCCAGCTCCTCCATAGCTACAAAGTGAGAAAGCGGCAGAATATGACTCAGTACTGTAACCACTGAGGGAGAACACAAACACGTTCCTGGATGTTCTTTTGTCTTTTCATACTGTAAAGTGGAAACACAGCAGTATGAGTAAGTACAGTGAGTAAGAATAGGTATTGGAGAATGGTAAGAATACTTCATGAACCAAAATTGTCATTCTTGGAGCAAAAACAATGCACAATTACAATGGAAGTCAGAAAATTGAAAATAATTCTGACCAGATCCAGATCTTGTAATTACAAGGTCTTTTTCTCATAATAATAAAATATTGCAGGGATTGGAACCCTGCAGAACTTGCATGAAAATCATCAGGTTTTAATGAATTCTTTAGTACCACAGTAATTCAGTGATAGTTATCTATACATATCAAATAGTACATAGCAAAAATGAACTGTTAATAGTTAATTCGACATACTTCGTCTTCCAAAATGTAAAGAAATATAGGCTAAAAGTGGGCCTCAAAGTTGCTGCCTATAGTGTAACTCACTAGGCTACATGTATTGAGCAGGAGTTGGAAAACTTCACAACCTGCTTGAGAAACAAGTAATTTTGAGATAGTAAGTCATAATTATGAGATAAGATCCTCCCATTATTTTCCCCTTTGGTGAATGCAATGTGCTTCCGTGATCATAGTTTAAGAGTGTAGCTACAGGAGTGTGTTCAGACTGCGGCCAAATACACTGCGTTCCAACAGAGATGTCATTCTGAGAGGTCTTTAAAAACGTTGCCTCCAAAACACAATATATCCTGTCTCTGGAGCTGCCATGGTATGAGTTCTGTGTACAACGTCAGGCCAAACCAGCAAATAGACTGAAACAAAACTAAGACAAATATTAGTACAAACATCAGGACTAACAGAGAAATACTTAAAGTTATAGTTTAGGAGCTTGAAAACATAGACTCGAGAGAAAGCAAAAGAAAAAAGGCAATAATGTGTATATATACACACCCATATTTTTAATGACATAATGCATTCCCTAGCGCCTTACATACTGCAACCTTCACAACCAAACGTGTAAGTCTTAACTGCCAGTCAATCCCAGGTGACATTGGGTGAGAGGCGGGGTACATCCTGGACAGGTCAACAGTCTATCATAGGGCTTCGCAGCTGCCGTTACTGCAGGAAGTGGGGGGTACACAGTCAGTCTGCCCACCACCAACATCAAGAGTCGGGGCCTGTGGCAGCCCTGGGCAAAGGGTTTGAGGGAACATCACACTTGCCAGAGGCCTCATGTGTGAGCTTGACCTTATGACCTCCAAACATGCGTAAGTGTTTTCACTACTGATCCCACCACTAGATTGTTTAAATACGTAGAAAATGAAGAGCCATCAAACACAGTGATGAGGTGTTGAGTTGTCACATCTCGCTGAGAAGTAACAGACTGCACACACACACACACAGTCCCTAGTGAAATCGTATTGATCTGTGTGGTGCACACTTGACTCCATTGAATTTCTGCAGACGCACTAGTGTATATGAAGACCCAATTACAATTTCATTGCCATAGTGTTATCTAGTTTGCTCATTAGCCATTGCTTCCTCGCCTTAAATCAGCTCAAAGTCAAGGTCAGAGTCAAATGCTGTCTTTCATAAAAACATACGTGTCTTCTACGCAAGCCATTCAATTTAATTATAACAGTTTACATTTCAGATTTAGCCAGCATGTGCTTCTCGTCAGCGGTGAAATTCTCCTCGGCCATGTGCTTGTACTGTAGGTACACTGCTTAAAATTTAACCACCAGCAGCACTACAGAGTTATATGTCGGTCCCCTGCATCGTTTCAGGAATAGGAAACCCATTCACCATGCAATATGCTCTGGTGAGAAACATGTGAATTGGAAACCTTTAACAGAATAAAGGCCTACTTATGAATAAGTTCATTATTTAAAGATAACTGAATCAATATTTTCATGTTGCTCCTTGTGATGAACCTTTGTATTTCCCCACATTTTGAAGTGGTGTGTGTAAAATGTAGTAAAATGCACACATTTGCCACATCAGCTTTAAAATATACCAACAGTGTTACCACTGTAGAGTTTACACTGCATTAATGTGTTGCCCCATAGTGGACAAAAATCTATCACATTTAAAATGGTAACATGGGCAGTGTTACTGATTCTGAACTTCTCCCTGACAGCTTGACTGAATGAAAGGAAGAGAAATCTATATATTTTTCTAAAGCTGAATTTCAGCTGTTTTCAGAAAAACTAGTGTGTCCTCTTTATTATGTTCACTAGTGATGACAGAGGGTAGGTCACACTCAGTGCCGAGATGTGACTTTACTTACAGAAGACAAAATGTTTTCTGCCATCCAGCCTATATTAGCAGCACAAGTGCATGCATTGCAGGTGCCTTTTAAGTAACAGGCACACAGGTGATGCACTATATGGTGACTGGCATTCCACCTACACAGGGGCACCGCTAGCAGTTTTGGGCCCTATGAAAAAATTTGAAGTTGGGCCCTCTACCCACAGACTGTGGGCCCCCAAAGTTCGTGGGCCCTTAGAATTGTCCTAACTCCACCCCCCAACCTTTAAATTAATTGTGCACCTACATTAGAACAAATGAGCATCCAACATTTGAACAAAGAAGAAGAAGGAAACTAGGTCAAGAGAAAATGTGAGCACCATCCATTAGATTCACTAATTTAAAGAACTTTCTATGAAAATCAGATGTAGCTAGAAGAAATATCTCCATTTTTTTTTCTAAGGATCTTGCCATGTAGATCCAATATGCATACTGATCACTTCATGGATTATCACGCTGAAGAGGAATAAAGCACCAGCATCAAAGCTGCATTAGAAGAAAGAATCTCACGTCACCAGTGGAAAGACATTTCATGGATGTTTGAAGCTTTAAAATACCATGCAGTGGTGTTCACAAATGCTGATTTTTTTTAAATGAAAAGACAATGATTCTGTATACACAACTTTACTGAACTAAACTTTACAGCCTAAATGGTTAGAAGGACAAATATAATATTTGGATTGAGGTATTATCTGTTTAATGAACACATCTGATCTCCACAGTGTGTAGTTACAGTAGATATTAAAGAATCTCTGTTAAAGGTCTTGTCTGTCTTTATATACAAACAGTATGATTTAGACACTTGAGATACTGAAATAACTGGTACTGTCTATTTAAAAGCACAGTGACATTTGATACTGAATGTGAAGAAATGTGATAGAGCCGCAAGTCTCACGAATGGCTTCCATATTGCTCCTTCTTCTAATTCTGGATGCTCATTTTTTATGTAGCTGATTGCTTTGCCTAGTGAAATGCCAATTAACATGAAGTGGATCTCTTGTGTGCAGTATCCTTGGCTTATTTCAGCTCTGAGGAGTGAGGAGGTCGCCTGGAGAAGCTGCCGTGTGACCGAGGATATACAAATACAGTGTACAAATAGTGAAAAAATCAGTATGTGAAGCCTGTGACTGTGAAGTCTGTTAGGCTATTTCTTGCAACATTTCCACTATAGTTATACAGGAGTACTGCACCAAGCAGGATTACTCAGTCACTGTAGCTAAGTAACTTCTAAAATACTGTGCAGCATTTGTTAATAAATAGCAACAATCAATACGAATGACTAACTGACACCAAGTATATTTAAGTTACATTTTACAAGGTCAGATTCAAAACAAAGTCTACAGCCAAATATTTCTCACAGGTGAGCCAACAGGCCAGCTTCCCCTGAGAGAAAATAAATGATCCCATCTGGGCTTTTCACAAGGACAAAACTGTAAGAGGGTTAGATTTTTGTTGTAAACAATTAAAAGAAATCCCTCCTTTCCTTTTATGGTCCAAAATTGTTTGTAGTTTCAGTAGTTAACTACACCAAAATGGCAAAAAAGAAATCTACAATAACTACTTGAATTGCTATGCAAATATGAAATTCAACTATTAGCAAGCTTCTGCAAGATGTAATTAAACTACTAGTCTGTTTTTTATGATGTATCAAGTGATTTACTGTCTTTTAGTGTATTTCTCCTCTCCTCAAGAAAAAAAAAGGACTCTCCTCTGTAATGTTGTCTCATGTTGAAATAAAAAATGATACATAGACCGACTGGTAACATGGAACACTCACCATCGAACTCAGCAGGCCCAACACCGACGATGATTATGGACATGGGAAGTGAAGCCGCCTGCACAAAAAAAAGAACGACAATGAAAATATTCTTGATTCATGAGATGATTGTACTAAGCTTCCATATGAATGCTCTCCCATTATTTGGCACATTTCATTGTGTATTATTGAAGGTTAAGATGAATAAAGAGGTCTATAAGAGCTAAGCTTCAAGAGAGTAACATTATGAGCACTGTCTTGCAAAAGTATATTTAGCGTTGTCAAACTTGTTAAAGATTTAAATCGTATTTCATTATAACAGATGAGGCTATTAACCTGACCTTATTAAACATACTTATTAAACATAACCTTTATTTTGAAAACCTTAAATCTCTTTGATGCAAAAATCAAGAGCTGTTCAGCTGGAAAATAAGCCAGCAAATAATATTTCTATTATCTGGAAGGATTTAATATCTTAGACCTCATCCAACTTTAATTTATACTCTACATGCAAGGTAGTCCGAGAGAGGAAAAAAGCTAATAAATCCCCATGAGAGAAATCCCTCAGAACAGAACTAATTAGATCAGATATCCCTCAAACATTAACTTAACAAGTTACTGGAACAACTAAAAGTCACAATGAAAACAAAGGTGTCTTTCCCAGACCTTGAATCTTAATGAAAAATATGAGCTGTACTGTAGTGTTTGTAGTTTTTTCTGAGGTAGTACTGATCGTAAAATGCCCATTGCCGGGACATACCCAGCTGTTTTTTATCCAAACATCATAGAAAGTTATCATTTAGTAAATTAACCCAACCCCCCCCCCCCCCCCACACACACACACAAAAGAAAATAGGATGCCAAGATCAAATCAGCAGGAGAAACTGCAGGAAGAGAAATGCTATCCATCAGTCCCTATTTATTAACACATGCAAGTGTGTATGTTGTGTGTGTGTTTGTTTACTCACACTGACCACAGCCTCTTTTGTCTGGACCATGTCAGATATCACTCCATCTGTGATCATCAACAGGACAAAGTACTGAGAGCCATCTGTAATCTCTGCTGCACAGCTGGGGAACGTGCACACACATACACACATGTTTATATAGCTATTGTGTCTTTGTGAGGACAGTTACTGACATAATGGATAATCCCTAAACTCTTATGCATCTGTGTTCTGCTGAGCTGTGCTGTCTTGTCAAGACATGGTACAGAGTTTATGGATTCGCTAACCCTACCCCTGACCAGCTTGTGAGCCTGCACCATCAACTGTAAAAATGATGGACAGGCCAAGAGCTCCCAGAAGTCACCAAAATATGATCGCCCCCTGGTGGTTGGTTGCAGTATAGTTCATAAATCCCACCCCCTCCATTTTGGTGGACATGAGCTACAATAAAAACTACAAATCAAACTTTTCTGAGCTGATTTTTGTTGTTTTTGGTACATATCAACACACTGTTGTGTGTACAAGTTATCATTTTTCTGGTTTGTTTTTAATAAGTTTGTTTTTAGTAGGTTATTTGATGATATAAAAAGGGTTGCATTTTGGTTGAATTCACAGTATTTGGATAGTAGAATAAAGTGGTGAGGCCATGTCCATCATATATACTCTTCAAGAAGGTGCTGCATACAGCCACCTCGGAAACAGACTCTAGTGTGCTGTTGTTCTTGTCTTTTTTGACGGTCTCTTGCATGATATTGCATGCTATATGTGCAATACAATTTGTTAAATGTGACTAGTTAAATGGTCTATGTTGCAATTTTGGCCAGTTCTAGCTCAAAACCTTTCTTCTGTTACATCATAGATAATGAGATGCTGTATCTTTTTATGGAATCCAGGTTCATGTTGACAGTATCCTTACTTCCCATGCATGGTGTTCATTTTTCAGTACAAAACCAGCTGATTCAATTGTTGCCATTCCATTAAATGACCATTATTGGTTGTTATCATGCCCATAATTATGCTTCACAAGGGATATATTCTGCCACTTTCATCCTCTGCAACATACACATAACTTCTGGATTCCAATCAAATCCACAAACAGTATATATAACTTCTGAATGAACATGTTCTTTTCAGATGTTATTTCAGATGCCACTCTGAGGCAGAAACAAGTTAATTATTAGCTGATGATTTGTAACCTTCTTAATTCTGCACATGTTGATTTGCCCCCCACTGTTAATGTTCCATAAATAAAACCAATTCTCTATCTGGTGAAAAAGCTTCTCATGAGTCATGTTTGATCAAACACAAAACTAAAAAGCATCCTCTGGGTTTGGATAAAATAAGGCATAAACATACAATTTCAACTTTGCATTAAAGGTGTAATTATATCTTTACTGTGCCACATGCACACACTCTAAAACATACTTTGCCACTTTGTTGATAACAGGTGCAAAGTTGGTGGGTCCATAGAGCTGCACCGTCCTCAGACTTTGAAAATAAGCCTCCAGAACACCCTCTATTCCTACACAGTTTGGATTATCATTGTCACCACTCTGCAACAGAGAGCATACAGCACACTCATCAAGTAAACAGTGTACAGTCACACATCTAGTGCACACACAACACAGTAACCCAGTTCATTATTGCCTGTTTATTGCCAGTATGAGACTGACATATATACATTTTTGACAATTATGAGATGGACTTTTTTGTTTTTTTTACACTTGACATGATGAAGGCAGTTGCAAAGACAAGGCAATACAAAATGTAATGTAACTATAGATTTCAATAAACTTTTTTGTTCTTTTTTCATGAACCAGGAACACATCTTTAATATATCTTATGCTGGTATTAGCTGTGATCATATTAAAAATGTATTCCCAGGAAACTCAGAAAAGTACTTCCAAGTAAATGTCCCTTTTCTGTCCTAAAGTAGTAACCAAATTTAGTGGAGACATTTTTAACTCTACTTTTGGGGGTATGGAGCTCTTCAGAGGGCAATATCAGTAACACTCTCATACAACTGGCAAGTGCAGCAAAGTACAATAAGTTACAAAGTTCATGAAAAGGCAGTGTTGGTCATAAAGGAACTAAAAAGCAGCACTAGGAGGGATTTAAGATTAAGTAGAGTCACTCCTGCAGTTTTGTGCTGCACTTTGATAATGTTGCCATTCTTGCAAGAGCTGTATTAAATAATGAACTTGAAAATTGAAGCCTCAGAAGCCAAAATACTGTACCCTGACTTTTAGTCCCTATTCAACCCCCATAAAACATTTTCCTCTCTGCCTGGATGCCTACTGTAGGTCTCCATGGCCTCAGTTTGTAAAGCAGGCTTTCTGTGAAGAACTTGAAGTCTCCAAGCCCAAGCTGACATGACTGTGACAACATTATCAGGGGCAAAAGAAGAAGACAATGTTGTGCTGGTTGTGCAAATGTATTAGAGGGTATGACAAGTAGAGGCTTCGCTTCACTTGAGCTTAGCATCCAGTGAGTTCTGACTGGCTGCCCTCTCTCTCATGAGGCTGCACAGAGGAACTAGAAGGGATGCAGGGAGACTCCCACTGGGAGGCAGATGAGCCAGCTTCTCTGTTTGTGCAACCAGCTGATGCTGTAGTGACAACTCCTGGTCCGCACCACGCCCTGCTGAGGGTGGAGTGTGTGCGTGCTTTGTATGAGTGAATTCATACATGTGTGTCTTACCAGTGGGAAGGCGTGTGAGATTTTGCCATCAGGGGGCAGCTTAGCTCCAAAGCCATAGGCAGGAAAGAGCTTGTCACTGTCGTAGTCTTGGATAATCTCACCTACTGCTTTCAGGGCCATGGCATATGCATTCATCTGGTAGGGACTCATATAGTGGAGGGAGGTGGGCTGGGATGGGTTACCTTAGAAGAACATGCACACACAACACAGAGAGAATAAGAATATGTCATGCTTCCTCTTTGTCTGGTTTTCACCTGTAGAATCATCAGAATAATATATCACCAGTGAAAAACAGGAGATGACTGACTCCTAGGAAATGCGGAAATGTCTGGCACAACTTCACCCACTGCCAAGGTGCATAGAAAAATAAAGGGAAAAGGTCAGCGTTTGGTCTTACAATAAAGTTGCTCTATACACAACAAGTGTTGCTGGATTTTTGAACCTTTTTATTTTAAGATTCCAAGAAAATACCATATACTTCATTTTTCAAACAGATTTCCCAAAAATATTGTGATTCATTTGCATCGCAAAAGAATGAATGTAAGAATGTAATGAACTACATTAAGAACTGTGGCCGCAACAGTAAATTTCGTCAACTTTTTATCTCTTGAAAAATAAAATCATGTAAGCAGATTATGGGACTTATCCGTGTATGCAATCATGTTAATATCTTACACAACTGACTAAATAGTTTAAGCAGCAGAATTATTGCACGCATGTAAATAGTGAAATGTGACTGAATGCCAGCTCTGGTTTTTTCCCCTTCAGATGAGCTGGTCTGGAATCTCTCCTTCCTTATGAAACCAGTGCCCTACTTTTAAATGGGTGAAAGGAGGGAGATGATCTCATTAGCAATGAAAGATGCCTGCTACCAACATCGCATTCCTCCTAATCCATTCAAGCATCCAACTGTGCCACAGGTGTACTGTGCACTTCTGGCCATGAAAGCACCAAACATTCCCTGTGCACCCTGCACGGCCAACTGCACCTATGGAAAAATAAGAATCTAAATAAAACAATCTATTCAAGACAGCGGTGTCCCCGCCATCAGGACATGAAAAATGGAAAATGAAGAAAGGTCATGTTGCATTACAGAGGGAAAATGGGACAAGTGCCTTTCACACTCAAAGAAAATTCTTACCTGTCAGCAATAATATTCAGTACAACTGCTCTCTTCTGTGTCACTGGAGTGGAAAATAATGATTTTCCTGGTAAGAGCCAATCATACTGCACGGTCAGCACAGTATTTTATTAAATACAACTGATTCATTCATATCCAGCTCAAGTGTTATATTTTTGTAACTATTTTCAAGTGGTTCCAGCTTGTAGAGTTTTTGTCAAAAAAGAAAGCTAAAAAAAAAACACCTTGCCTAGTAACACATTTGGAACAAGCCTGTTTAACCTCAACCTTACTGAACTGACATTACTAGACTAATAACTGCTTACCAAGACTATAACTGATTTTCTTTCCAGAACACTAAGCTAAAACTAATGCAACAGTCCCACAGTAAATCTTTTATTCATCAAGGTGATAATGTTCAGTTTATGCTCTGTTTTAGAGAGGTCTTCATTCAATCAATTACTTGTTTATGAATTGTTAACTGGCAAATGTTTCTATTATTTTGTCAACTTGATTCATGTGGGCTAACTGATCCAATAGTTCTTGGGGCATTTCACTCAAAACCACAAATACCACTCTTATGGTGGAACTAGAAAAAAGGGGTCACTGACATCACTGGGATTCATCCTCTGGGGTTGATGAATATCTGCACCAGCAGTGTTGTGAAAATCTATTCTGTAGCTATTGAAACATTTCACAAAATAAGTGAAAACTTAGACGCTGCTGGTGGACCTAGCAGAAAAGTCCGAGGTTCACCAGCGAACCAGTGATCACTGTACCAAACACCATGGCAATCCATCTGATAGTTGTTCACACATTTTAGTTGAGACTGGACTGACCAACAGAGAGATCAGCATTGCCATGCTGCTAGTATGGCTAAAAATGACAATTTGGGGTTTTATGAAGGGTTACTGCCTAAACTATACTACCCAATAGTCACAGCTACACTGAATAGTTAATAAGCATCTTTCCCCAAATGTTAAACAATTCCTTTACCATCAGTTATGTACTGCAACCGATTCATGGCTGGCAGTTCATAAAGATGTTCTGCAAATTGTGCAAGTTTTGCATCATGCTTGATGTAATGTTGAATGGGTTGGGAGGATTACATTCGGTCTATAGGAGCTTTGTAATGCAATAGATGGAAGGCAGTGAAGAGGTATACTCTGATACACACATGCACACTACAATAAATGAAAATTCTTGCAAGTGACGATTCTAAAGTACACTATGACTTACCATTGGATGCTGTGAAGTCTATAGCTACAGTGAAGTTCAGTTGTGTTCTATAAAGCAGGAATCAAAATGGAAAACAGAAAAACAACAATAAGCATCACACTTCAGTATACTTCATAACCACTATACTAGGGATGTAACGATACGATGACTGTGGCTGTGTCGACTGTTGGTTGGATTCTTTGTCACTGGACCAGTTGAAGTGGCTATCCCCTAGGCCACTAGGGGCAGTAGTGAGCAAATTGCTGCTGAGCACAACACAACAAGGAGAAGAAGATGCCAAAATATACTAGGACAAGCCACATAAGGTGAGACTTGTGCTTTACTGGGGGTGTTTCTCAATGTTGTTTTTTTCAAGAGAAAAGACTTGAGGGGTGGTTGCTAAATGTTTGGTTTTATATTTGTGTGTCCTGTTTGCCTATCGCTGTTAAAATGTAGTGCACAGCTGTGCCCCAGCTGTTTCTGCGAGATGTATCCATGGTTCTAAATGGGGGTAGCATTGTCTTGGTCTGGAAGTATTTGCAAATTGTTTGTCAGTCTCCTTTCCATTCCAGCCATGTAATTTCTTGAAACAAGAAGCTGAAATGCTGCCACATAATAGCTGAAAAGGTTGACAATGGAGCAACCAATCGCTGTCAGTTTCAAATTCTGCAACCTGAACACAGTTATAATAACGAAATAACCATATGTAACATCCTGGTAAATACTGTAACAATCTCATGACGGTAATGAGAAAATTTTCTTTTGCAATATTGTGAAATCATCAAATATCGTTACATCCCTACATTATATTGTATCTCCAACACACATACACACCAACACAATCAACTGCAATACAATCAGTTTACTGGCTTATTGGTATATGTGGATAATATTCTGTCCACTGTCCTAAAGGTCTAAATAGGTAACACACATAGAACCAGTAAATAAAAAAGAGTATGCATTTAAGAATTAGCTTTTTCAATGCAAAATTCCCCAAAACCTTGCCCATTCAGAGCCTATATGAATTCAGTAAGATGCTCACAAAAGAGCTTTTGGGAAATTCAATCTAGATTACTCTGCACACACAAACACACTCACAAAGACACAGCCAACAAAAACGGTGGCCATTGACAGTCACTATGAGAGGAGGCTAATCGTTATTCCACTCACCCTCCCCGGATAAAATCCACAAAGGTATACTCAGATTCCACTTTGAAGGACAGCAGAGTTACCTGGCAAACACATCCACACAGACATATAGAATGAGGGTGGAGAAGGGACCAGGGCCAGGTAAACAAGAAGGCAATGCAACAAACAGGTGGCCAGATAGGAAAAGCGTCAGTGAGACAGAAGCAGATGTAAGAGGTGATGATACCTACTATATATAAAAAAATATAAAAACATAAAATACTAATACAGAGGAAATGAAATGCAGATATAGGAGAGGTGGGTGTGCAGTACTCACAGTTCCAGAATTGATGTACTTCTTCTTTTTGCCTTTCTTCTTGGGATTTAAAACCTGCCAGTGATGGGGAAATATAAGTTAGTGATCTAGAGGGTACTTGTAAAACCACTTTACCTGGAATCATGTTTAAAAATGAACATGAATAATTCAACAAACTCCTGATAATACCAGCAGCCTGTGAACTGAAACTGATATTATGTTTAACTGTGTGTGTGTGTATATAGAGAAGGAAGGGATGATAAAAATGTGAGTGGTGAAGAGATTAAACTACCCAACCATCCATCATCACAAGTCTGATAAGTACATTCTCTTCTCTTTTAGAACAGATGTTTATTAATGACATGATTTCTTCATTCATTATGCTGTTGTAGCATTAAACTGGAGTTAGCACTTCGACAGTTAGCTAATGATTGATATGTGCATTTAGTTATTTTAAAGATTTTCTCTTCAGCATGATTAATAAACAGTTCTTGTCAACTAGTGATTTGGTTTGGACAGTTTCATTTACAGTGACCACAGCTTCTTCCCAAAGCATCACTACTTTACTTGGTTCTTATTGCATCCCCTCATTAAAGTCAAACTGCAAATAAAATTCACATTAGTAAGAATATTACATTGTAAATGGTAGCCTACAGTTACAGTTCAGATATTCATGGTGTTTGTAAGGACTTGTGTTGCTTAACCCTGTACATGATTCAAAATACGGGCCAGTGCAGCTACTTCCCTGAGCTTACAGCACCACCCATTGCTAGTTGTGAAATCTGACAGTCTGGCTTTACCATCACTGATCATCAATCAGTTCTAACATCGGCGTAATGGGTAGATTTCACTTGAAAAGTGGAAGTTAGTATAGCTAGCTTGGTAGCTTTCTCTTTTAGTGTCGAACATAAAGTCAGCAGCACAATGTGTCCTCCCAAATGTTGACTGTTATAAAGACAACTTACAGTAAATTGCAACAGGTTAAAATCTGGCGTATGTACTTATAGAAATGTTTTCTGTAGGGGCTGCAAGGGTGCTGCTCGCCCTACTGAAAAAAAGAAACTAGGTATGGCAAATGACAGGGACCTGCAGAGATGGGTTGCAAAGTATCTAGAGATTGCAAAAGCGAGCTGTAGCTTTGGTGAGCCTGCTAGTTGAAGTTCAAATATCGAAATCGCCTAAACTGAAGTTACAAGGTCTTTATATGACTAAAAAAATAAGAAACAACAAACCAGCCCCTTGCCGTATCTCACCTCATAGACATTGAACTGGTTCTGCCCCCGGGACAGCTCTCTGTAGCTGGTGGTGAACTCGCCGATGAAGTCATGGCTACAGACAAACAATACCCACACAAACAGGCGAGCACAGACACATACTTTACCATCTAGGTTAAACTGTATCTGTCCACAACTACTTCACAGTCTGTTCCTGTCAATCTTGCGGTTGTTCTCCCTGGACACTCTCTTTGACATGTAACCACTTCTAAAGCAAAAACTCTTCAAATGTTGCAAAGCATTTCATTTCCTTCTGACATTTGAAAGATGCCAGTGTGAATCATGAGGCTGCTGTTAGTAGTCTTAGATGCTCTGATGAGTGCATGCATTTACCTTCCATCTCGATCCCAGTCATAGACGTCTACCTTCACAGTCCTGAAATAAATAAAGAATGTCTTACTTGTAAAGCTCTGCTCTAATAATTTTCAAAAACCTATAAAATATCACGGATAAGTAGAGGATAGTTCATGTTACTGCAAGAGTGGCACTGTATGCACTTTTGTATGCAGTGTGTGCCTGCCAGCAAGCGACTACTTTGAATGTATACCACAGCGCTGTGGGTAAGCTGAGTCAGTCTCAATAACACCAGTGCTGGTCCCTGGGACACCAAGACCGACTGCTGGCATTATTCTGACCGCCCCAGCAACAGGTGATGTCATTCACATAAGAGGCTGCCTGATGTGTGCTTTCCCAGGACAAAAATTTCTGTTGCATATGTAAACAGCCATTCTGTTTTTATTATGATGTTTCACCTACAGGTTCCTTCAGTGTCTAAACGCTAATTAAAATGCTTCAGGATGACATTTTATTCACTCTCATTGAATATGTAAGCAAGTAAAATGTTTTCTCACCTGTCATAGTCGCCATTGCAGAGAGCTCTAACAGGGATGGTGAAGGGCTGCCACACTGGGTTCAGTGTGTTTTTAATCACCTCTGTCTTATGGCAGATGGTGAACCTGCCAGCAAAATAACAGATGTACTGTAAGGCAATGAGAGGAGAGTATGCTCATACTGCTCACATTGTACCTGTGAAGACAGATCATCTATCTGCAGCGTCCAAAAATGCTTTGTTGTATCATTTTATATCTGCTAAATTGTATCTGTGAGGGACATGAGAGAATTACAGATAGAGTTTTATTGCTATAAACATCTCTCCAAGGCAGAGCAGTGAAAAGAAGTAATAATCTTAAAGACTGAGATAAGCTGCAATTTGTGGTGCTGCAGGAGAGAACCAGATGTGACAATTGGTGCTATTAGTTATGGATATGCAGTTGTTTCAGAAGGTAATCAGATCCTTTCACTTTGTGCATACTTCACTGTGTTGTAGATTAAATTTTAAACAGATAAAACTGCAGTTCTCCCATCAATCTACACTCAGTAACCCAGTAATCTAATAATCAAAGGTGTCAATCCAAGCCTATACTCCCCATAGCTAGAATATAAATGTAGCTGCTCACAAAATAAATTGAATAATACTATGAAAAAATATTTTAACCTTATTATACCTACAACAATCAAATTAGTCACAAGGTGCCCCTGACAGCCTGTTGCAACACACTCTGCAATTTCCCTTTGGGATTTAGAAAATGCTTTATCAATCTGTCTAAAGCATGATTTGTATTTGGAACACAGCTTTACAAGAAGTAGGTCTGTGTCAACGTGTCTATGAAAAATATTTAGAAAGCTGAGAAAATAATGAAAAGCTCTTTTGGCTATGCTGCATGAACTTTTGGGGCAGGTCCTAACTTCAGGATTTAATATCAGATAATGAAATAAAGATAATAAATGTGATACATGAAATGTGTTCAGAGCACATTATCTGTTCATATTCAAATAAGGTATTTGCATCCCTTCCAACAGTTCAAGAAAGTCTGACATATTGTCACATATACACACAAGTCCTCCAACCTATACCACTCATGCATTCCCTTCTCTCACATACATAAGAGCATCTCCCCAGTAGCAGTCCTACAGTATATTAGTATTCAACCAGCACGCTTTATGGACTTTCATTGTCATGGAAACAATCAATCATAAACATATGGTTAATGCTGCGTTCATGTCATGTCAGCAGAATGGGGAGGATGGGAATAGTTCCCCTAGAAATCACTTGGTAGTCCAAGACAGTGGCTGCCTGCAAAAGTCTGCTGCGACTGGACTACTTTGTGTCAGTTAACTGTAACATTATTTTATTTTGTGACAACACAATGCGGTTAACGTATACTCCAACTGTCAGACTGTCTAGGCTACAGCGTTGTACACTCACTGTTTGGAACAATGATGTTGCATTTTTAAGTTAGGCTGCTTTCAGCTAATCTTTACCATGAATGCTGTTATTTTATTTAGTGTGACCACAAAATACCAGTAGCTAGTTATGTTGCTAATTAAAATATAGGCAGCATTTCCTGTCTGTTTATTGGTGAAATTTAAGTGTAAGTGCTAGTGATGGTAGTTCGTTATTACAATTTAAATGACATGAGATAAACGCAGCACAAGTGCGCCAGAACTTTGTCACGGAAACTGCCATCAACATTCCATTGCAATTAGGAAACATCACGGTTTCATTATGTTTAATTACACAACCTGCTTGGTTCCGTATAGGAACAAACACTACTACTGTACGCTAGGTAGAAAAGACACGTTTCAAACTGAAATTAAACACTGCTCGCCTGCTGGAAAGTCCTGCGTTTTTGGTACCAAGCCACCCACGCCAACCATTTCCTAAAGTGGAATTTGTGGCTTTATATACTACGTCACTTAGCTTCTTCCTTTGCTCATGTTATGATCACTACCCTCACTAGAGACCACCAAACTATAATACGTAACTGTTGGTTGTATTAATCTGCGGACACAAACGACATATAGAATCATAATCACAGAGGGACAATCTCAACAGTGGGTGGTGTAATGTTGAATACTGTAGGTGAATATCTGAATCCACCCTGAATGCTGAGACTCACGTTCCATCCTCGTTACTCCGGTAGAAAACCAGGAAAGGGTCTGACTTGCCAAAAAAGTCTTTCTTATCCAGTTTGTTCGCACACAACTGCATGGTAGCAATATCCTGAGGGAGACGACAAGTAGAGATATAATAACTCTGATGCAACTTTTTCTCATTTTCAACTCATTTCTTACTGGAGAAGTTACAGGTTTTTGTGAGACATGGGCAGAACAAATTTTATGCCAGAACATCCTGTGAATTCGCAGTGTAAAATCGCAATCACAGTGGTGATGCAAATGTGGATCATAATCCCAAACATCAGAAGTTGGAAGGACTTAATAACTGAGGCACACATAAATTACTTTAATTGCTATTCTGTGTTTTGTTTAAATTACACTCTTTATTAGTGGGAGAAACTGAGTTGATTATGGGATGGCTGTAATGTAGTCAGAGAGGCAGAGCGAATGGCTTCATACATATGTATGATGGTTACAGCAGTTAATGAGGAGCTGAGTTATTCCTGCTTCTCTGCTGAGATGACTGGGACAAGATGGATGGATGATGGATGGATGGATGGATGGATTGATAATGAGGCCATTTTCCTCCAGAAGGATGGCGTGATGGGAAACCTGAGCTTGTCACCGACCGATCACCGGTTGTCAACCTACACTTACACACACTCTCACACAGAAACAACACACTTATCAAAATTTCTGAGGAGTATTTGGATTTTTTCAGGAGCAACTGCCCCCCTGAGAGTAAGAATGGTAGACACATCCAAGATAAGCCTGTTCACATAATGGTCTCTGGAGTAGATGCACACACACACACACACACACGGAAGAAACGTCTGTTAGTATCTGACTGACTGGTTGGTATTAATATATATTATTGTGGCAGGGGAATTGCACTATGTGAAGATAAGAATCACTTAGTTGATAGCAAGACACCATTTTGACAGTTAATTCTAAACACATTCAGACAACTGTGGAGAGTTCGGGGTAACACAGCATCAAGTGTTTATCAAAGCTGAAAACAGATAAACCACACTTGCGTGTGCGGAGCCTGATGTAGTGATTTACAAGTTAAGCGCTTGCACGTCTGTTTTCATTTTTCACGATTCGTTTTTTTAAAGATCGGCCTATCCTTAACAGTTTTCTGTACATTTGTGTTTACCTATGTGTTTGTATGTGGAGGTGGTGACAGTATCAGGACAAATGAAAATGCAGTATGATAATATTCCAGCAACACTTCATTGCATGTGTGTGTGTGTGTACTGACCCTGCAGTTACTGAGCTCCTCTGCAGTTAGGATAATGATGCCACACTTCTTCCCCGGAATCCCACTGAGAGTGAAAGGAGAGAGAGAGAGGCAGAAAGATTGAGAAAGAGGGTAATTGTAGCATGACATAAATAATGCAATTTCCAAGCAGATGTTATTCACAGCTATGAGCTGTTACTATGATAGGTGATAGCCCAGCATGCAGATTATATTTACAAGAAAAAAGATCTTTTAATTTCAAAGTAGTTTCTGAAAATGTGTTCATTTTGGACAGAATACTGTTGATTTTATTCTAAGCACTCATTTTCCATCTTTTTAAACGTTTTCTCAAAAGAGGACACCTTTGGCTTGAAGACGAAATCACATCCATCTGAATCAGGCACCTAAGTCCCGCTGATTTAAAGCCCATTTAGGGCACACTATGGCTCATGCAGTGTTTTGAAAGTGATTTCAGTCTACACTTCTTAAACTGCTACCATTTTCATCAAAATTGAACATAACAGCATTTGGAATTATCCAGCTCTGTCTGCATTCTGAGCCATTTTGAGGGACTGAGCTTCAGTTTTCACATCCTAGACAGAAAAACCGATTAACAACAAAATAAGAACTTTCCTGAAAAAGGTCTCCTTTTAATTTTAGACACTGAAACCTTTCGTTAAAAGATTTTCCACTGTCAGATTTAAATTGAGAGTACAGTTTGTAGTCTTACTGAAACTATTAAAAATAAGTGAGGCTTTCTTTCTATTTTAAATTCCCTTTTTGTTTGCTGCTACCCTTCTTTCTGCTTCTTCCTTTTTGCTGCCCTTCTACTCTGGTTTCTGTTCTTAATTCTACTTGGACACTACTGTTTAGACAAGTTAGAATTTTCACTGTCTAAGTCTGACATTTGATTAAATCCTTGTCATCATTGTATGTCTGCTGAAGTACAAAATTAACAAAAAAGAAAGTAATAAATAAATAAATAAAATCGAAGATTGCTCAATTTCAAACAGCGGTTCCCAAAACTGGGGGTCAGGGCCCCTCCAGGGGCTTAGAGTTAAGTCAAGGGGTGCAGCCATGAATAAACATAACTGACGTGTATGGTGGTCAGGGTGGGGAGGCCTTAAACATGTTTTATGGACAAAAGGGGGTGCCCAGCATAAACACTTTGGGAACCACTGTGTTAAGCCAGATTTAGACTTCTGTGTCACTGTATATATGGGAATGTGCATCTGCCATTCGGAGACAGTCGCAAAGCTGTTGCATTTATACTTGTGCAAATGGGGCTGCTCACACAGCAAAGTACAGAAAGAAAAAAAAGATTCTGAATCAGGCTCAAAGCTGTTATAATTTTCATCCTGTTGATATTTTTCAGGTGAGAAAGTAACCACTTAGATGAAGAATAGCTGGTAAGTCTAGCCAAGTAATGCCAATTTGCTCCAGGATTTTCAGAGATGTGAGTACCTGTTAGTGGACCAAATAGCAGGTAGCTACACCTCAGTCAAAGCAGAGTCAAATCAACCAATGGGTGTGGTGGACGTGCAGTTCAGCTCAAGATGTATTTGAGATTTGGGAGGTGTGCGCATTAGACCATCTGCAACCATCAGCAACCTACATTTACTCATAAAGCCCTTTACTGCGTAGGCACACATTGATGCCTACATGCAGTTTCTGTGTAAGTTTTAGCATAAGAATATAAAAATATTTAGAATGTAGCAGCAAAAAAAAAACAAGCAAAGAAATAAAAACTAGAAACTAGAGTCTCACCAAATAAAAAAAAAGAGTGATTTTCATCTTAGTTGGCACTTGACAACACCTGGTAACATTATTAACAGCATTATTTACAGCGTCAATCAATTAATTCCTCTAGTACATGAAGTAAAATTCTATCATTCTGAAGTTACACTATAAAATACCTTTTGAATAGCTGCCACTTGACCACAAGTAAACTTTTTTGTTAGTCACTGCATATTCCCCATCCTCTTTTTTACACCAGTGTGCTGCATTTAAACTACTCCAACAAGTACAGTTTACTCAAAACTTCTGTAAACAGAACTCATTACTGCTCCAGTAGAACCTCCAGCAGACACACACATGATGGAAATATGACAGATGTAATGTTCTCACCTGCTGTTGCTCTTTATCTCTTCAGCTGGCTCTAAAGTTACATGCTGTCTGTTTCCATTGCACTTTGTTGCATTTTTTTAATGGATGCATTAACTCTTCCACCTCAACCAAATGTAAAACTTTTCTGAGATATTTTCTTTTGTCCTTTTCAGATTTCCAGCATTCCCCACCTGGTTCATGTATGCATAAATTACAAACGCACATAAAAACAGGTGGATGGAAATATATTTATTGTTAAACTGTCAGGGACACTCAGATGGAACAGAGGTGTTATTGCTATTATTAACACCTGTGCTTTTCCAGGGAAGGTCAAATGTCTGCTGTGAAAAGGACTAACAGGAATGTGTTTGTGTTGCCTGCATGCTCGTGCATGTACAACTAGCTCATAAAACCCCCTACAGTGCTACATGGTCCATGATATTAAGGAATCAGTTTGGGCAATTAAATATCTACTCAAGTGATTCGAGCAGACTACCACTTCTGCATTACTGTTTAATCAAAAACAACTGTGTTTAGTAGTAAAATATACTCTGATAATTATAATACCATATAATTTTAGTACATTCATTGATCCATTTTCCTGCTGTTTATTCAGGGTAGGGCCATGATGGCAGCAGGCTAACCAAGTTAGCCGACATCACTCATGTATCCCTTCGATCACATCCCCAGTCATTACCATCTAGTCAGCAGTAAAGCTCGTAGAGGTTGTTTTGACCCCTTCCTTTTTTCTCCTCCATTTGAATTCCTGTTAACTTGACATATTGAGATTGAACTGACTGTGGTGAAAGTTACTGAAATGCCACTAAAGAGAGAAGAATCCAACAAAGACACAGAGGGTATGGCTATAGAGGAGACAAAGGAATGAGGGGCAACTTTGTGACAGTCAGGGTACAAAAGGACCAAGCTTCACTGTCGCGTCTTTATACTTCCCTGAATCACAAAATGAGGTTAAAAGAGAATGAGGAGGAGGCAGAGAGAGGGGATGACACACGGATGAAAAAGAGGGCTGAAAGAAATATGAGTGATGGGAAAAAGAGGAAAACACCTGAGACATGAGACATGATGTTGGCATCGATCCACTGGTCAAGTAAAAGCCAGAAAATCAAAACATAACCACATAAAAAAACAATCAGTACAGTAAAGAGGGAATTATCCATGGCCAGGACTGAAGACTGGGATGCTTGACAAAGAATCAGTGAACAAAGGCACTGTGATATTTGAATGGTGTGCACGTAAACATGCTTGGTTAGAAGGACTGCTGGGTTCTTGGTCACCTCACTGACCAAGGCCCTTCTTGCCTGGTTCAGTTTGGCCAGACAGTTAACTTTATAAAGAGCCCTGGTGGTTCCAAACAGCATGGTCCTGGGAATACTCTTCACTTTAGGAATGGTTCATACCCATGCCCCGATCACTGCCTCCATTTTACTGCGGCGGTCTAAAGAGAGTTCCTCAAATTTCATGGCTTGTAGCTTATCCTAATATGCAATGTGAATGATGGGGCCTTTTCTAGAGGCAGACACCCTCTCTACCTTTAAGATTAGACTTAAAACTGTCATTTTTGACAAAGCTTATAGTTAGGGCTGGCTCAGGTGACCCTGAGCCTTCCTTTAGTTCTGCTGGGGGCCCCCCATCATGCTCTAAGCTCTTTATATGGCACCATTCCACTCTCCCTGAACCTTTCTGCAGGTAACCTTCGCTCCTGAGCTGTATGTTTCTGAGGAGCAGTAGCTGGCCACATTAACCTGCCCAGCGTTTGTTTGTTTGCTGTGCCTTGATACTTTTCTTTTCTCTCTCCTCTGTCCACTTACCCCGAACCGGTTGAGGCAGAAAGCCGCCCACTAAGAGACAGAGGTTTCTTCTGTGAAAGGAAATTTTTCCTCTCAATTGTTGCCAAGTGCTTGCTCACGGGGGGCTTTATTGGATTTTTTCTCAATAATATTGTAAGGTCTAAACCTTACAGTGCCCTGAGATGATTGTTGTTGTGATTTGGTGCTGTACAAATAAACCTCACCAAACCTTAACCCTTACCCTAACCCTTAACACTTGGTCTAACCTTACACCCCGTCATTATCATAAAATTTGTTGAATTAGTCATGGGGCCATACTGTATTAACATGAGGTTATCCTTTTATTCCCCAATTTCTGATGTTCTTTTCTTGTAATAATTATGTTTGTCTCAGGTACCCAATAAGTATTTTTATTGCTAAATAAATGTACTGTAATTTTCAGGCTATAACCTAAAGCATTACAGTTTCCTGTCCATAGCAATGACCAGTGCTGTAGTTAGTCTTCATGAGGACAGTCACTCGGATACACTTTTTTAAATCCTAGGTATTTCCACTGATGGTCCAGCAGTGATAAAATCTGCTTTTAGCAGCACTCCAACTATTTTATTGTTTTCTAGAACTTGATGTCAATGAACTATTTTGCTTTCCATCAGCATTGGTTTCATTCTGTAAGTAAAAGCTCAAACTTAAAGCTCAAAAAAACAGAGACAAACTAGAAACATTTGTCATTTTGAAAAGTATACTGAAGGACATCCATTGTTTCCACAGTTGACTGCTCCACTGACAGCTGAGTCAAATTGAACAGCTCGGTCACAGTCTGTCTGGGCCTTGATATCAGAACTCCCTTTTCAAATTCTATTCCTTTTTAACAATGCACACATGAATACATCACACATAGACACACACAGCATTGCACTTTTCTGTGAAATGTAAATATTTGCTGAGTTTATTTCCACAGCACACACTGCAGCATAATAAAAATGTTCTGAATATGCCATCATAATATTGATTTGTGATTGAGGCCAGCTTGATTTGAATAATATTAAATGAATAAGTCGACATCTTTTTCAACTTTCATTAAATACAATTTTA